ACAATTACACAATATGAATACTACTCTCCCACTTCCCCTGATGGCGTCCGGAAGATGTTCGGCACCCCCCCGCGTACTGTTTTTTTACACACAGGATTCCCCGGAGTTGGGTTTTCGCTTGTGTTTTTTCCTAAAATGCTGCTCTCGCTGAGGCGCTGGCCTAATTTTCGGGCTCCCGCTCCTTCCGAATCGTGTTCCCGCTGCAGCGCTGGCCTCATTTCCGCGCTCACGCTCGTTCCGAATCGTGCTCCCGCTGCAGCGCTGGCCCAATTTCTGCGCCTCTCGTTGTTCCAAAACGTGCTCCCGCTGCAGCGCCGACGTTTTCGATCCATTTTAAGAAGCCCCAAATCTAGAAAATGATCCCCGGCAAAAACATTGGAGGTGATTACACATCCGGTGTCGATTCGTTGATTTTTGGGGCCGCAGAAAGCCCCCCCCCCCTTTTGGGCGGCGTCCTTTTCCGCACAAGATTCCCGGGAGTTTGGTTTTCATCTATGTTTTTGAAAATCCGAGTCTTTCCGGTCCTTCAGAATGTTGCTCCCGCTGCAGCGTTCGTCCTATTTTCCGCGCCGCTGGTCGTTCCAAATCGTGCTGCCGCTGCAGTGCAACGGTCCCCGGCCCCATGCTATGATATGCTCCGCTCCAGTGGCGTTCTTCGGCTCTTCAACAATGGTGCTCCCGCTGCAGCGTTGGTCCCATGTCTGCGCCTCTGCTCATTCCAAATCGTGCTGCCGTATTGTTTTCTTGGCACTACGGCACTCTTCGGCTCTTCAACATGTCGCTCCCGCTGCAGCGTCGGTCCCATTTCTGCGCCTCTGGTCGTTCCAGATCGTGCTGCCGCTGCAGCGCATGCGTCCCGCGTCCCATGCTATGACATACTACGCTCAGCATTGCTCTTCTGCGCCATGCTATGACATGCTACGCTCTGCAGTGCTATGGCATGCTACGCTCTGGGCTCCATCGCTGGTGCTTTCAATTGTGTCTTCGTCGTCGTCGTCGTCTTCGTCGTCGTCGTCTTCGTTTTCATCGCGCCGTCGTCCTCCTCCTTTCCCTCTTAGGTAACAGGGTCAGATGCGAAGCCCGATTCGGTGAGAGGACAATGAAGTAGCTCAATGGGAAGGGATGGGAGGGAGGGGTAGGATGTCAGATGTTGACGCGAGCGCACCTAGCTTGTCATCCTCCCCCTTCCCCTCCTCCTCTTCCTCCTCCTCCTACCATCATGGTGTGGGAACGTCACAGCCCTCTCCTCCTCCTCCTCCTCTCCCTCCTCTTCCCTCCTCCTCCTCCTCTCTCCTTCTCCTCTCCTCGTCCTCCTCCTCCTCTCCGCCTCCTCCAACGCCTCCTCCTCCTCTCCTCCTTTTCCTCCTCCTCCTCTCCTCTTCCTCCTCCTCCCCTCCTCCCTCCTTCTCCTCCTCCCCTTCTCCTTCTCCTCCTCTCCTCCTCCTCCTCCTCCCTCCCCCTCCTACCTCCTCCTCCTCCCCCTCCTCCTCTTCCTCCTCCTCCTCCCTTTCCTGTTCCGCCGCCCCCTCCTTCTTGTTGTTGGGCGGACTTCGCGATGGCTATGATCGTAGCGTCTGCGTGCACAGTTTTCTCTGGTGCTTTTACTGTTCTTTCGCCAGCTGCTGCTCCTCCTCCTCCTCCTCCTCCTCCTTTTCTCCTCCTCCTGCTCGTCCTCCTCGTCCTCCTCTGTTTCTCCCTCTTCCGCCCTTGCCTTTCACTTTTGCCACAATTCTACCACTGCAGTGCACTGCACTCCCATCACACATACGATTCTGCCACGCGGGGCATACAGCGTTCAACGAGGTCTGCGCTCTGGGCGCACGTGGCACCTGGACTCGCCCTCAGGCTACGTCGCCTCTCTCTCTCTCTCTCCTGCTCTTCTCCGTCCTTTCTTCGCCGACGTTTGGCACAGCGGTGACGGCGCCTTCACCTCGTAATGCCTGCATGGCGGGCAGGCTTCCTGTTGCCGTTGTTTGCCCCCCCCCTCTCCCCGGGCGAAGCCCCGAAGTGGAGGAGGAGGAGGAGGAGGAGGAGGAGGAGGAGGAGGAGGAGGAGGAGGAGGAGGAGAGACGGGCTTCGGCGCCATCGCGCGCCGTGGAGCCCTTACTGAAAGGGCCCTGAAAGAAGGAGGATGTGTGGAGGAAGAGGAGGAGGAGGAGGAGGAGGAGGAGGAGGAGGAGGAGGAGGAGGAGGAGGAGGAGGGGAGGAGGAGAGGAGGGGAGGAGGAGGAGAGAGGAGGGAGGAGGAGGAGGAGAGGAGGAGGAGGAGGAGGTAGGCGGAGGAGGAGGAGGGAGGAGGAGAAAGGAGGAGGGAGGGGGAGGAGGACCACGATTATTCCCTGCTTCCCTGCCCAGAGGAAAGGGGCTCGACCATGCAGGGCCCAGCGGCAGCCTCTGTGCCCCCAGGCCCCTCCCCAGGCATCCGACGCCGTGTCGTTTTCACATCGTGGACGCCCGGAGGTCTGGGCTCCTTCCCCCGACCGGGCTTTTCGCCCTGAGCTGTTTTTTTGGACAGTCCCGGAGGCCGACATTTGTGCAGAAACATCAGTCGTTTTTTTTTGTTGTGGCGCACGCATCTCGCTCTCTCTCTCTCTCTCTATATATATACGTTTATGTATGGTGTATATACAAATACATACACATGCATGTGCATACACACATTTACATATTTGCATACATACAAACACCGTGCATATATACACACACATATATATATATATATATATATATATATGTATACATGTATATATACACATGCCTACACATCTATAATATTTTTTTGAATATTGAATGGGTTTCGTAAAACTGTGTGCCAGCACTTTGTGAATACTTGCATTCGTTTTTCAGGGAGCGGAGAGGTTTGGGCCGCCCCCTTCTCCGGCCCGCCCCGCCTCCAGGCCAAGCGAGACCCGGCGGCGGAGACGCCTCTCTCCCGGTGGCGGCTCGTCTCCACGATGTGGCCCGGGCAGTTCCTGCTCCACAGCGGGCTGAGCGACCCCGAGAGCGTCAGGTTCAACCTGTCAGAGAGGGAGCCACAGCTCTTCGCGTGGTACGAAAATCGCGGCGGGAGGTTTCTTGAATTCGAAAAACCGTCATTCAAATTCGAAAAACCAGTTCCGCGGTCAGAATGGGAGCCACACCGCCTCGCGTGGTGTACCAATCGCAGCGGGAGGTCCTGTGGCAGTCTTCGGCCTCTGGGGGTCCCCGCCAGGCCTCGGGAACCGTTTTTTTTTTTTGTTGGTTTGGTTCGTTGGCTCTTGGAGGTTTTCACGCTTCAGCTGCGCCCCGCCGAGGGCGCGCTCTTCCGGAGCGAAAGAAGGACGTGCGTGTACGTGAGCCCACGTTGGTTGCGACAGTATGGGCTGCGCGAGCGTTCGTGACACGCGGCCAGCCTCGCGGACTGGAGGGGCCGTACTCATGCACGTGGCTGGGCGCGTACGTCCTCTGTGTCGCAGGTGGGAGAAGCGACACCAGCACCACCAGGGGGCCCACCTCCAGCGAGGAGGCCCCCGATGACTCCCCGTGCTGGAGGCTGAGGATGTCTCGAGCGAGGGGGGGACCACACCCCCAGGAAGACCCCCCTTTGCCTCCTCGCACCTCCTCGCCCTGGTGGTGTTGGCGTCGCCGCTCCCTGTTCCTATCCGTGGGCTGCCGAGTCCCAGGGGCACCCGGATCGCCCCGGACTGCCGCCGGAGGCCCGAGCTGAGGCCCGAAAGCCACCGCATCTCGAATACTTTTTCGCGCGCTGCGAAAGCACGTCTCGCGAAGCTTTCTCGCAGTTTTCGGCCTCCGGGGCCCCTCGCAGGGCCTCGAAGCAACGCCTCGGCTGAGGGCCCCTCCCAGGGAACGGGGCCCCAAACCTCCAGGGGCCCACGCGGGAGCCCGTGGGCAGGCCTCGGCGGCGGAGTTCCGGAGAGGAGGCGGTGTCGGGCACGGGCGGGGGGATTGCAGCATCCTGCACGTGGTCGTTGGCCGAGATGTGGATCCGACTGGGATCACACTGGGGATGCCAGCGTCGGCGTTTGGGGCGGGGGGGGGAGTGCGCCGATCTCGGCCAGGTTCATGGGGAGGAGGGGGAGGAGGAGGAGGAGGAGGAGGAGGAGGAGGAGGAGGAGGAGGCGAGGAGGAGGAGGAGGGGAGGGGGGAGGAGGAGGAGGAGGAGGAGGGGAGGAGGAGGAGGAGGAGGAGGGAGGAGGAGGAGGAGGAGAGAGGAGGAGGAGGGGGGAGGAGGAGGAGGAGGAGGAGGAGGAGGAGGAGGAGGAGGAGGGGGCGGAGGAGGAGGAGGAGGAGGAGGAGGAGGAGGATCTGGGTTTGGGCCCTACATGGGAAGGCTCCGAGCTCCTGGGTGCCCCGCCCTCGCCCCTCCGAGCAGCGCCCGCGTCGAAAAAATTCGTGCGCGCGCGCGGTCGTCCTGCTCTTTGGGGTTCTGTCTGGCGCCCTCGTGTCCGCGGTGGGGCGCGGCTCGGAGGCCAGCTCTGAGCAGTTCCTGCCCACTTCGAACAGGAGTCGCTGTCCGCGCGGCCGCGGGCAGTGTCCGTTCGAGACAGAAGGCCGCGTGCCCAACAGCGGCCGCTGTGAGCAAAAACAATCTATAACAATCGTCCCCAGACTACTTCTTGACAGTTCTTGACTATTCCCTCTGTAGAGGGACAGGCCCGACTTAGTTGTGGCAGCATGGCACGGCACAGCGCAGCGCAGCACAGCCGCAGGCACGGTGTCATCCTCAGAGTTTCCATTGTCCATGGCGACTCACACACCGCCTTTGCCGCTCCCTCCTCCTCCTCCTCCTCCTCCTCCTCCCCTCCATCCTTCCCTCCCTACCTCCCTCCCTCGCCTCCTCCCCTCCTCCTCCTCCTCCTCCTCCTTCTCCATTCCTTGTCCTTCTAAATATCTTCTCCCTGTCGCTCACCGAGGCCGGTTTTGTGGGCGGGCCGGGCGTTTCGCCTAAGACTTCCTCACCATATTAGCAACAGTTTCACACATGGAGGGCGGGTTGTTTTCAAACTGTGGCTCTCGCCTCAGCGCCGCGCGCATTCGTTTTAAACATTTGCAAGAGTTTCACGGATTGAGGGCGGATGGTTTTCAAAATGTGGCTCTCGCCTTAGCGCCGTGCACATATCTTAAACCAAGTGCGAGTGTTTCACATATTAAGGGCGGTTCTTTTTCAAAATGTGGCTCTCGCCTTAGCGCCGCGCACATTCGCTTCAAACGTTGTAGGAGTTTCACGAATTCCCATTCTGGCACGATTCAGGATCGTCAAGGCGCAACAGTCAGGTTGATCAGTGGCGGTGGAATCCCGAGAACAATGTTTTGGCATTCTTCAGAGTTCAAATCGTTGTCTTCCAACAAGGCAGTTCCCTCAGTGACAGTGAACCATTGTAGGGGCCTATGCAGAGGGAGCTTGGAGGGAGGGTTTATTCCAACATCGTTGATGACTCTTGGGTTTACACTGGTCCTCCTCTTCCTCCTCCTCCTTCTCCCTCCCTCCCTCCCTCCGCCAGCGTGTGGCTGGCACACAAGCTGCCGCATGCATGTATTGCCCACGCGCCACACCTGCCTCTTCGGCTGCGACGACGGCCTCGACGAGATCAGCCACTACCTCCACTGCCATCGCGCTCTTCACTGGGTCACAGATCCGCCCAACTTTGCGCACGGAGACGTTCTAGATCGCCTCGGGCTCGGCGCTCGCGCAGACTATCCATAGGAGGCTGCCCACGAGTTCTCGCGCCAGATCATGGTGCGCAACATCGTCCTTCTTTACGACTTCTACCTGGAGGTCAAATTTCCCGCAATGTCTACGACGAATCCGACATACTCCATGCGCAAGACCTGTCACAGGACCTTGGAGAGTGAACAACCGCTTCTGAGTCTGGCCCCGCCTGCTGGTCGAGCCAGACGAACCGCATGACGGCACTGGCGCTCCCCCTCCTCCTCCTCCTCCTCCTCCTCCTCCTAGCGCAAGCTCAGATCGAACCGGCCTGGGCCGGCCCGCGAGCCAGTGCCAGCGGCGGCCCCTGGCCGCCCCGCTCGCCTCCCGCCCTCGCCCTCTGCACCTTCCCCCCGTGGGGCCGCCGTGGCGCGCCTCGCGGCCGCGCCGCGCGGCGAAGGAGCGCAGAGGCCGGGCGGCCAGGGCCCGGGCAGGGGCCGTCCAGGCGCTCTTGCAGGGGTCTCGGCAGCCTCGGGCATCGCGGCGGCGAGCCCCCGCGGCTGGGGCGCCGTGCGGCAGGGGGCCCTGCGCGGTGGGTGTGCTGAGCGTGCGGCCCGCGCGCACGGTCTTCCCGCCGGTGCTGTGCAGGAGCGTGCCGCCGATCAAGCCGGAGCTGGACAGGGCCCCTCGTTCAAATCGGCTGCGAGTGTCTTCACCCAGGGACTTATCACGACGAACCAACAACACACGCCCATACCCACAGGGGGGTCGGAGAGGGCTATGGGTGGGTGTTGTCGGATGGGGGTCCCCGCTCGAACGGGAGCGTTCCCCAGGGTCCGACAACCCGCGCCCATACCCATAGCCAGACCTCCTCTCAACGACCCCCCTATGGGTATGGGTGTGTGTTGCTCGTTCGTCATTATCACTGGAGTCTACCCTCTGGATGCTGGCGGTCCTCTAGCTGAGGATCGCACTCATGCAAGCATCCGTGGTCGCGGCTTCCCGCATGCGGAAGGCGGCGATGGCCTCGCTGCTGGAGCCTGGACTCCTGCTAAGTCGGGCGTTGTCGAAGGAGGCGCTGCTGCTCCTGATGCACTTTGGCAGCCGCCTCCTGCGCATGGCCGTCGCCCTGGTGCAGCCTACGAAGCAGGTGTGCGGGAAGGCAGGCGTGCAGTCCGCAATCTCCGTGGCGGTGGGCGTGAGGACCGCGGGACTGCTCGCGAAGGTCCTCCGCGAAGGCCGCAGAGCTCGGCGGCTTGGCAGTGAACAGTGCCGGGCGCGCGCGCGCGCGCCGCGCTAGGGTCGCCCCGTAGCGTTGTTGGGCCACTGGGATGGCATCGTCTCTCGCGGAGGTCGGGCTTTCTGGCATGTTGGTTGGCGGGGAGCCCTGTGCCGCTGGGCGGTGCCGGGGCTTCCCTTGAACCTTCGTTGCTGGAGGGCTCAGCCTTCTCCGCTCGAAGTGTCCGATCCTTCACCGCCTCCTCCTCCTCCTCCTTCCCCTCCTCCTCCTCCTCCTCCTCCTCCTCCTCCTCCTCCTCCTCCTCATCATCATCATCATCATCATCATCATACTCATCCCCCTCCTCCTCCTCCTCCTCCTCCTCTCTTTCTCCTCCTCCTCCTCCTCCTCCTCCTCCTCCTCCTCCTCCTCTTCCTCTTCCTCCTTTCTTTTTCCCTATCGACACCTACCCCCTGTCGCGCCCCGAGGCGTGTTGGTAGGGCTGACCGGGCGTTTCGCATGGGATTCCTCACCATCTATGGCCCGCAAGCTCGAAATTTGCAACGGTTTCACGGATGGAAGTCGGCTCGCTTTCAAAACGATGAGGCTCTTGCCTGAGCGCCGCGCACACTCGTTGTAACAATTTGCTTGCAACCGTTTCACGGATTGAGGTCGCAGCACATCCCCGCTCCGACGTTCCCCACCCCGCCCCCTCCACCCCGCCCACGCGTTGCTGTTACCCGGGGCCCAATCTCCCCCCCTCGCCCCCCAGACAACGACCATTACCTTGACGATCCACGCTCCATCCACACCCCTGCGGCTGCCCCCCACTCTGTGGGAGCCAGGGGGAGCGGGGCATGGATTAAAAAAACATGGCATGGGAGGCCAGGAGCTTTGGTCCATGACCCCGCTCTGGCCTCCCGTGGTTTCGGGGCGCGAGCGGGGGCATGGACAGCATGTGGATCGCCTGATTGCCAGAAGTACTCCAGGAACAATCTCTGCGTGCAATCCTGGGTGGACGCCGGCGTGTCGCGTATCTGCTGGCAGACCCGCGGCGCCGCCCGCACTGAGGCTGAGCGCAGCAAAAAAAAAGAAGAAGGAATAATCTCTGCGAGGCCCGCGGGGTGGCGGCCTCGGCGCCCTGTGCTTTTCCCGCGGCACGCCGGCGCGAAGCCTGGCAGGAGCGGAGGGCCCCGGAGGCGGCCCGCGGCGAGCGGCGGCGGGCTGCCGCGAGATCCCGCGGCTGCGCGCCCCTGGGCCTCGCAGCCACACCGCCGTCCGTGGCGCTTGCGGCCCAGACCGCGCGGGCACCGTGCCGCTACGGCCCAGTCCGCGTGGGCCTTCCCTTCCCCCCAGTGGGAATTCTACCACATTCGCACCCCGAGGCCACGATCCCGTGCAAGTTACGCCCCACAGGGGCGCCCCCGAGGCCACAATCCCCGACACATTCCACCATGTTCGCGCCCCCGAGGCCACGATCTCCGGTAGATTGCGCTACGTTCGCGCCTCTGGGGCCACGCTCCCCGAGGCCACGATGCCCCGCAAGTTGCTGTTCCATCCGCGGGGCGGCCCCCCCGAGTCCCGTCCTCTATCCTTTCCTGCCGTCGTGGTCGACCCTGAGAGCTAAGACAAGTATTCAAATCCTAAAATGCCTTCAAACGCCCTTACGCCGCCCCTTCCGCGCCCGCCCATTTGGGCACATCCCTCACGCAGATCCGTGCCCTCGGAGTGCCAGGAACGGAGTTCTGGGAGCTTTTGCAACTCGCAGGGCGCACCCCTAGATCCGTGGCCCCGAAGTCTCAGGAATGGTGTTCTGGGAGCTTTTGCAAATCGCAGGGCGCACCCCTCACGCAGATCCTTGGCGTCGGAGTGCTAGGAATGGCGTTCTGGGCAGATCTGCAATTTCAGGGCGAGACCGTCACGCAGATCCGTGGCCTCGGATCTCCAGGAATGGGGCTCTGAGAGGATCGGCAAATCCCAGGGCGCGCCCCTCAGACCGTGGCCTCGGAGGGCCAGGAATGGCGTTCTGGGAAGTTTCGCCGCCGCCTGGGCGCACGCCTGTCGCCAGGCATGGCGTCGTTACTGTCCTTCGCGAAAGGTACGGGCGTGACCTCGACCCTTTCGGGTTGAGAGCCGCCCCCGTGCCCTTCCCCAGGGGCCACCCCGTGGAGGCTGGACATGGCCCCCTGGGTTTCCGAGCGGCTATGGCCGCCCCGTCGCGCTGACACTCCGCGGCGCGCTCAAGCGCCACGGAGCCGGCACGGCGGGGCGACCGCGGCCGCCCAGAAGCCCCCCTCCCTCGGGAGCCTCTCGCCGAGAGGCTCCCGGAGGAAGGCGCAGCTGCGCCTCGTCGACGCTTTTCTGGGGGCGCCGCGGTGGGCGGCGGTGGTGGGCGGCGCAAGCCGGGTCTCAACGCATCGTTACGATTCCGCCGTGACGCGGCGGAGGGCTCGGCCCAGCGCCAGCGACACGGTGTGGAGACAACATCGTCGTCGTTTTGAGATCAATCTGTCTTGGGTCATGGGTGGGTGGGACACGTCCGACAGGCTGCGAGTTTGGGCTAGTGGACCCTAAATTCTTAACCCTATAATTACTAAGCCCTGGACACCGAAAAAACGGGTACATACGGTAACATACGGGCACATACGACCCGGCCATGTAAACCCTCGCCATCCTATGCAACACATGCAATTCCCTGATCATGCGTGCTGTAAACCCTCGCCATCCCTTGCAACATGTACGATTTCTTGATCATGCGTGCTGTACACCCTCGCCATCCCTTGAAAACATATTATTCCTTGACGTTCATACACCAATGAGACTTCTCCTTAACAAGGAAGTGCTCTTTAGGTTCCCGAAAGTTCTTTATGGTAGGGTGGTTTGCGGGTGGGACTGGCAGCCACCGCAGGTGGGCTCATAGGCAGGAGGTGATCAGCTGCGGCACAGCTTGTAGACCCTGAACCCTAACCCTAAACCCTAGTCCGGTACAGCCAGCAGTACAGCGCTGCTTGCCGCGTCTCGCGGCGCAACGCCCCCGCCCCGCCCGTGCCGCTGTTGGGCCAGCCCTCGCAGCGAAGGGAGAATGGGCGGCGCTGCTCCGGCGCTGCCCCTGGCGCGTTCCGCGCGCCCGGGGAGGGGAGCCCAGCGCCGAGCCAAGAAGTCCGCGCGGGCCTCCGGAAGGTTAAGTTTGGGTTTAGTCGGGCCTGTCCCTCTACGGGGGGAGTATTCAAATAGTCAAAAAATACAATGGGGACTATTTGTTGATCATGTTTTGAGCATTTTTGTAGCTTTTTCAGAGTATTTTAAATTTTTCGCTGAAAATCCCCCCGTAGGGGGCAGGCCCGACTTGAGTTTAGGCTGTTTTTCCCTCTGAGTGAGCGCGTGCACTCGCCGCCGCGGCCTGTCAGCCCACGGCTGCACCGCCCGCTTGACCGCACCAGCTCCCGCCGAGGCTCGGCGCTGGGAACGCCTTCGCCGGGCGGTCCAGCCCAGTCGCGCCGAGTGCCCCCCCAAGCAGCGCAGCGTGCCGTGCTCGTCGCCCTGCTCGTCGTGGCCTTCGCCCCTGCTGCCGCCTCGCAGCCTCGCAGCCCGCAGCCCGCGGCCCGCGGCGTGCTGTGCCGTGTGCGCGGACGGGTGTGTCCGCTGCACGGGTCCGGCGAATCCACCTCGTTCGACCTTCCCCTCTTTCTCTTCCGACTCCTTTCGCTTCTCCTGATCCTCCTCCCCTTCCTCTCCCTCTCCTGTATCCTCGTCGTTGTTCGCCTCGTGCTCGTGTGCTTTCCTTTGCATTGCATCTCCCCCCGCCAGGTTCAGGATGCCGTGGTATATCTTCTGCTCCATATCGTTCTGCGTCATGGGCGCCGCTTTCGTTGCGCAGGTCAGCGAGTGTGCGTCTTTGGGTTTTCGACATGACAGATGCCGTCGCCGCCTCCGTTGTTCGCAGCCGTCGTCGACGTTGTCTGAGGAGGAGAAGGAGGAGGAGAAGGAGGAGGAGGAGGGGATAGTGTGAAGCAGAGGGGGAAGGAAGTGCTGGAGAGGGTCTGGGTGGCTATATATCATGCTTCTTGTCTGCGGCCTTGTCAACCTACGTTTGTGTTCCGCATGTCGCGCGATGCAGTTGCCGATGAGCCAGCACCTGTGGTCGCTCAGACGACAGGACGAAGGAATTTGCTACAATTGAGGAAGCTGGGGCCGCTAAGCTTCTCTAGTTGGCTACTGCCCCCCCCCCTGCCTGGCAAACCCACGTCTGCAAGACTGGCCAGGCCTGAGCAACTTCCATGGGAACGGGGCTGGGATGAGCACCTGATGATGAAGGGGGAGCAGGAGGATGTGCAGTATCATGACGGGTGTCGATCGTCGCAAGTTCCTGCCCGATCCCGCAGCGCTCTCGAGATAATCTTGTGTGCGTGTTGATTCCAAGCAGTATGCGCACGGCCACACGCCCATTCCCAGACTAGAGTGCAGCGGTCCGTACACCCACGCGCCCCCTCTTTTTCTCTCCCCCCTCGAATCTATGCGACTGCAATGATGGTGCAGACATGATTGATGAGCAGTGGTGCTGATTTTGCCCGCTACAGGCACTCGCAGCACATTCAACTTGAATAGTAAGGATGAGCAACTGTCCAAGGTTACCTTTGCATCCTTCCCCTTCGGCCCTTCCTGGGCCGCTTTCGCTGGCCGCGCCCCGCTCGCAAAGTGTCTACATGGCATTCCCCTGCCGTTGCATTCATGTCGTACGTCTTATGAACTATACGGGTGGTTGACTGCAGGCGAGGGTGGAGGAGGGTGATGCAGGCATGGGGACAAGGGAGACTGGGGAGGGGAAGGAGGGCACGAAGCGGGAGAGGGGGACGGGGAGAGGCAGGTGGAGGGGAGGGAGAGCTGGACATCCGCAGAAGAGGGGGAATGGGCACGCGCTAGAACGACCTTCCGAGAGAGCACTCCTGTGTGAGCTCTTCCCGCTGCCATCCTTCCAAGCAGCCCTCCCCTGTCCTGGCGCAGGTGTCCATGCTGTGGGACAAGACCGCCGACGTGGTACATGGCCAGGACGGCTTTCTCGCGAGTGCTCTTGCTGGGGATGGGGCGCAGAGGCATGGAAGGTATTGTTATTGGACATAGAGAGAGAGAGAGAGAGAGAGAGAGAGAGAGAGAGAGAGAGAGAAAACGAAAGAGAGAGACGGAGAGAGAGAGAGAGAGAGAGAGGCAGAGCGATATATAATCACACACATGTTTATCTCTCCATATATATATATATATGTGTACATATGTATGTGCATACATCTGTATCTATATATACGTATATCGATCCTGTCGTGCCTGTCAGTGACCCCCTCCCTGTGTGTATGTATGTATGCATGCATGTATGTGTGTGCATGTCTATGTATGCATGCATATGCCTGTATGTGCATGTATTTGAATGTATACAAGTATGTATTCATATGTGTATGTATGATACGTACGTATGCTTTTGTATATGTATGCATGCACAGGTGTAGGTTCGTATTGTATGCGCGTGCGCCCCTGGGATGTATATGTGTATGTGATTGTATGTATATGAGTACACACTTTCACTCCCTATGAAGGTGGGTCGGACTGTCTCTGTGAATGTATTACCTACTACCTACTAGTACCTACTTCAACCTACTAGCACCTAGTACTACGACCTACTAGTACCACACAGGACTACCACCTAGTATCACACAGTACGGCTAACATGTAGTAATACACAGTACTACCACCTACTAGTACCTAGTACTACTATCTACTCGTATCACACAGTATTATTACCTAGCAGCACACAGTACTACTATCTCCTAGTAGTAACTAGTACTAATGCCTCCTAGTACCAAGTACTACTACCTACCAGCACCACGGTACAACTACATGCTAGGACCAAACAGTACTACTATCACTACTGCTACCTACCAGTACCACACAGCACTACTACCTAGTACCTACTACTACCTACTAGTACCACACCGTACTACTACCTACTAGCACCTACTAGTACTACTATGTACCTACTAGTACTAATATTACCCAGTACTACACAGTACTACTTGTACTGGTACCTGCCAGGACTACTACCTACTAGTGCATACTAGTACGGCTACCTTCTAGTACCTAGTAGTACTACGACCTACTAGTACTACGATTCCCTAGTACTACACAGTACTACTACCTACTAGCACCTACTAGTACGACTACCTAGTACTAAGTACTGCTACTACCTACTAGTACCATCCAGTACTACTAACTAGTACTACTACCGGCTAGTGGTAAGCCGTATTACTACCGAGTGCTACCCAATACTACCTAGTACTATCACCTAGTACTACTACATGTTACCATTGCTACTACTACTATTACGACCAAGTGCTCTGAGAGCCACCGAGAGCCTTTGAGAGCCACCGAGAGCCTCCGAGAGCCTCCGAGACCCTTCTGAGAGCATCTAAGGTCCTCTGAGAGCCTCCAAGAGCCTCCGAGTGCTTCCGGGATCCTCTGAGAGACTTTGAGATCCTCGGAAATTTTCCGAGAGCTTTTGAGAGCGTCCTGGCGGCAGCAGCAGCAGCGCTTCTTGGCACCCGCATATCCAAGCCTGGGAGCTTCCAACCCCCTTTTTCCCTCCCCCCTCCCTCCCGTCTCCCTACCGCCTGCCTCCCTCCCTCCCTCCTGCCTCCCTCCCTCCCTCCCTCCCTCCCTGCAGCTTCCTGCACTCATATCAGACTCGTTCTCATCAGACATTCACTCATATCAGACTCGTTCACACCAGACATTCACTCACATCAGACTCGATCACGTCAGACAATTACATCTGAGTCGTTTACGTCAGACATTCACATTCGACTCGTTCACATCAGACTCCTTCACAACACACCCACTCACAGCATACTCATTCACGTCAGAGCACTCACATCAGACCCACTCACATGAGACTTCGTCATCACTCAAAACAGGCCCCAGAACAAATGCACATTTTTTTGTGTGTGTGTGCGTGTGTGTGTGTGTGTGCGTGTGTGTGTGTGTGTGGTAGCAAAGTCTCCCGTCAAGGTGTTCGCCAAAGGGGATACATGAGTAAAGCACGGCCGTTGACGCTGCGCACCACCGTTGGAGGGTAGCAAGAAGTGCTCCTGAGGAGAAGGCGGCGTGGGCGAAGCTGCACCAGAGGAGGTGGTGTTGGTAGACATTGAGAGAGAAGAGATCTAGAGCGTTGGGTACTGAGGATGTGGAGGTGGGGCTAGCAAATGAGCTTAACACTACAACAACACAGCACACATCCACACACCCTACCACACCTGACAACACATGCACAATAATTGCGACACCACATACAGACAACACGCACGTACTACACTACATCACATCATATACCAGAACACAAAACCACCATCACATTTCAGCACAACCAGCACACTGCACATACCACCAACAGACACATCACGAACGAACAGGACCACCCACACAGCACACACACACACACGTTACAGGTCACATGCCAACCAAGAGGGGAGATCATTGGGAGGCACGTTCGGATGTTTATGGATATATATATGCACATATGTATATTTGTATACGTCTATATAGACATGCAAATATATACACACACACACACACACACCTATATACATATATATATATATATATATATATATAGGTGTGTGGAAAAATCGACCCCGCCCTGGGGCTCCGCCCACTCCGCCGTCATTTCCAGCAACATCCCAGTACCACACTCCCGGGCTCCCAAGAGAGCTTCAGGGAGAGCCTGAAGACGGCTCAGGACGCCACCGAGAAAGCCCAAGAGAGCTCCAAGGCTTTCCAAGCCAGCCCCCCGATGGCTCTGAAAGCCCCCAAGAGCACTCAAGATCGCTTCCAAGAGTCCCCCAAGAGCTCCGGGGAAGCCCTCGAGATGCCAAAATCGTTGAACAGCCTACGGAAAATCACTGACTATCCTTTTTCTCGCACTTCCGCCTCCGACACGCTTCTGAGGCTTGCGCAAGCCCCCCCAGAGAGCTCCAAGAGGCCCCCAGGAGGCGTCCCCAGCGCCGAGAAGTGGGCCCAAGAGGCCACACGAGGCCCCCATGACTCCCGAAGGGGCACCACCGAGGCCCCAAAGACGCTCCGAGCAGAGCTCCCAGGAGCTGCCCTGGAGGCATCCAGCGCCGAAGAAGGGGCCCCGAGAGGCTCTCAAGAGCTCCCAAGAGGCCCCTAAGAGCTCCAAGATACCCCCAAGAGCCGCTCGGAACGCATCTTGGGGGCATCTTAGAGAGCTCTCTCGGGGTGCATGCGCAAGCCTCGGAAGCGTGTCGAAGGCGGAAATGCGAGAACACAAAACTCGTATATTCCTTGGTTGTTGCAGTGATGATGGCCTGTCGAGAGCTTCCTGGGAGCTCTTGGGGGACTCTTGGAGGCCTCTCGGTCATTTTGGGTGCCCTTGGGGGCCTCCGCAGGCAACTTGAAAAAATTCGGGAATTCCCTCAAAACCATTTTTACAAGTTCGTTCATCCCCCTCCGTTCCCTCCTGTCCCAGACTTTGGCGTGCCCCAGCGTGCGTTTCCGCTTCCCCCATCCTTCGCTGTCCGTTCTCCTTGCTCTCTTGTTTGCTCTTGGTTCTCCACCGTCTCCTGTTCCACATCCCTCTCCCTTCTTTTATCTTCCCCCGTCCCCGCTGCGTCATTATTCCTCCCCCTCTCCCTCCTCTCTCCTTCACGCTTTCCTCTCTCCGCGTCCCTCATGCGTTTCCGCCTCCCCCCTCCCTCATCCTCAACTCTCCTTTGCTCCTTCCTCCCTCCGCCGCCCTCACCCATCATCCTGCCCCACTAAGTGGTAGGAGGCCCAGCTTGAAAAAACATGGAGGTCACTAACCTAATTGATTATCAAGGCCGACGCCATGCGACATTTCGAGCCCAGACCCCAAGAGCCCCGTGGATGCGTCCGAGGCGCGCCCAAGAAGTCCCCAGAGACCACCTGTAGACCCCCACCGAAAACCAAAGAGACCCCATCCCCAGAAACCCCCAAGAGCCCTCCAACCACGTCCCCCAAAGGCATCCACAGGAGCTCCCAGCATGGTTTTTCCAGGCTGTTAGGAGTTCTCGGGCTTCCCTGGTCGGCGCCGCGTGGGCAAGGAAACCTGGCCGATCGCGGCCAGATCCCGGAGACACGGAGCGGCTCGAAGCCCTCGTGCTTCCCCTCCCCTTTACAAGACCACTTAGAGCTGGAAGCATGGAGCTCCCTGCTTCGCTGAGGCGCCCTTGTTCTTCATGATTTTCTCCCTCTCAGGGGACGCAGAGTCTGTTGTCATGTCATTCGAGGACGGCGACCTTCCATTCCTGACGTTTGGCGACGACGCTCTCCCCCCGAGCGCCGCCAGCTTTGAGCACCCAGCCCGAGCGCGCCCGTGTCGTGCTGTGCCCGGGCCGATTCTTGACGCTCCTCGTATGCCCCGCCCAGTCTGGCGGGGCCGCTCGCTGCGATTCGATTTACCGGCCAGGGCCGCGATTCCGATTCGATCCGATTTTGCTTGATTCTTCGGCATCGGCCGGTGCAGCCGGAAGCCGGGCGCGGCGGTCCGATACGACGCCAAGGCAAGTTGTTCCGAGTGGGGAAGTGCAGAAACAGGCGACGGAGCGCAAAGAGAGGGGGCAGCCGTCAAGCCTAAGTGATAGATGGTTGAGCATGGTCAGACCCGTGAGCCACATAGATTCCCTCGCTGTCCCGTCGAATGAGGAGGCGGGAGAGGACGTATGAGGCGGCGTGACGCAGAAGAGGAGGAGCAAGGGGAGGAGGAGGAGAGGGAGGAGAAGGAGGAGGAGGAGGAGGACGAGGAGGAGGAGGAGGAGGAGGAGGATAGGAGGAGGAGGAGGAGGGGAGGAGGAGGAGGAGTAGGAGGAGGAGGAGGAGGAGGAGGAGGAGGAGGAGGACGAGACTTGGAGGAGGAGGATGAGGATGAGGAGGAGGAGGAGGAGGAGGAGGAGGTGGAGGAGGAGGAGGAGGAGGAGGATGAGAAGGAGGAGGAGGAGAGGAGGAGGGAGGAGGAGAGGAGGAGGAGGAGGGGAGGAGGGAGGAGG